ACTCGGCAGAGAGCGTTCCTTCCGCCAGCCAGTCACACTCTGATCAAGCCAGTCAGTCCACTGCTGCTCGCCAAGATGATGCTGGTAAAATTGAATGTGCTTAATACACCATGTGTGCTCCCTGTATGCTAGTGTTAGTTTACTTGTGTGCAAATGTCTACTTCACACTATCTTGCAACACAACTTGAGCCTCTAGATCGGAAAAGAGGGCTTTTTCTATTTTTGTATTGTATTGATTTATTTGAATTGGGTATCTCAACAGTACAATAAGTACAACTTGGGAACATCCACGCTTATGTCGTTTCACGCAGTACTGAAAAATGGCATTTTAATGATAGCTTGCATACCGTCCTACCGGTAGGACCACGGGTCCTACCGGTAGGACCCAAGAAATCGAGCTGCAAAAGTGCTTTTGGTTGAGAAATTTTTTGAAACAATTGTTGAGATGAGGTCTTTGTCAGGCAAAGTAATGGCGCAAAATGCAAGGCTATGTCCAGTGCATTGCGTATGCGCAATTTTATCGATTGTCAAAATGGCCGCACATAATCCTGTCGGTGCGCTAGCAACTCTGTCCAAAGTGAATTTTGACCATGGCACATCAATTGTGGTGAGGTCCTAATGTTTTTATTAGCTTGCCAAGGCCGTGGAATGCATAATTCCATACTCCGTTTCCATGGTTACCATGGGTTGTTACCATGGAATTTCGTAGTATGCCTTGTGCGATCACGTCTAAAATTTGTGAACTCCTTCATTAGCCCCTTAGCAACAGTTTAGGGTCAAGGTTTAGGTCAATGTTAGAACAGAGGCCATGCAGCATGTCCGTGTATGATGGTCCTACCGGTAGGTCCTACCGGTAGGACCGAGGTCTATGCAAGCTATCATTAAAGTTGTGTGTTTTCCGCATAAAGTGATGTACATGTATAACTCACTTTGTGAAACATCTATAACTCTGTGAAACATGACAATTTTAGACCTAGGTGTTTTTACAAAGTGATCTGCTGGGATACAGCAATGCCAGGGTATAGATCACTCAAAATGCTCAAAAATGACAGAAGCCGCCTTTTTGCATCTAGAGGCTCATTTGATCTATGAGCTTGCTCAGGTCTCAAAGAGAACTTCAGTTTGCCGGAGATTCTGTACGAAAAAAAAGAGTCATTGTCTCTGTGGATAGTGAATACATGACTGGTTGGGAATGTGTGTTATGCTTACCTTTTATGAAATGAGTTTATAATTTATACCCATTCCTATAATCAAATTTGTCTGCACAGAGACATGGATAGTTTTTATATTCTGTTTTCTGTTCTTTCCTGTTGAATGTATCAGGCCATGAGCATCGCGCTGCTGATGGAAGTTGTGGTACTTTCCTATCCACTTCACCACTGTAAGTTCTACGCATGCATTGCTCTACAATGAAGTATAGAACCGTTGAATCAGTCCTTGGTATAGTTCAGTGAAATGTACTGCACCATTTCGAACATAATGAGTCAGGCCGGCCCAGTGAGTGAGTTCTCTGACCATGATTGTGCAATGACAGGTATATGTATCATGATGAAGTCCAGACTTGAAGAGGATTGCTTCAACTGTGCTGTACACCACAGTGAGTTGGGAACACGAGTTGTGGAAAACAGGGCAACACTGATGCAGAAAATGGGTTTTCACCTTTGCCCATAAACTGTAATTGGTGAATCTGAGTTTTCCTCTCCATCCGTAAAGAAGCGGCATCTGACGCCTTTTCATGTTGTCTTTTCATGTTGTCCTCTTTCAGACTGAAAGTTTTGTCAGAAATTACTGACTTTCAAAGGTTCAGCCGAAGCATGGAAGGGTGCATCAGCCGCCTTAAACGTGGTAAGTATGTTGCTGCCTATCTATGTAGAATCGAAGACAAAACACGCACCATATTTTCCGGAGTATAATCCGCATCCAGATATTTGTGTCTCTAAATACATTACATTGTTTGTTGTTATTTTAGTTGTTCCTACTTGCTACTTGCTAAGTCCCTATCACCTCTTTACTGTACCAAATAAAGACTTGGAACCGGACTATATACATTATAGCGTAACTTGTAGTCCCTGTGCTTAGACTTGCTGTGGTGTGAGGCCATGAATTGGGAACGAGAATAGGCTACCGACATGTCTCTGAGAAATGCTGTATTTCTTTCTCTTCCCTCCTTGTTCTCCTGTGTGTCCAGAGGACTTTGCCCAAGCCGTTGCAATACTGATTAACCCAGAATACAGCAACGATTTCAAAGACGACATGCAAGACTTTATCATGAGAAACGACCTTGGCACCACTAACATACCGGATAATATGCAAGGTGTTATCAGGTGGGCCGTGGACCAAGCTGCAACGCGTGAAATCACCCTGGCCGAGTTGAAGAAGATTGCACTAGACCTGAATCCCGAAAGGAAGAAAAGGATTGAGAAAACATTCCAGTGAGTTAACCAAGAATGACTCATATCATTGTTATACGGTATTTTGGTGACATGGTCCGGGTCGGGGCCAGGGAGAAGGGATAGGGTGAAGGGGGGGGGGGGGGGGGTTGTCACCGGTGGTCAAGTTTGTTTGAGAAAGTGATGAACGGTCTGTGCTGGGATCCTGCCTGCACCTTAGCTTGTCGTCTCAGCATTGAACCGCCTTTTTGTTATAGCCAGGTCAAAATAGTAGAGAGGAGGAGGGGGAGGGGAGGGGGGGGGGGGGGGGGCAGGGAAAACAGTTACCCCGTAACCGATTTTCCCATTTTCCAAATAACTGTCTTGCAACGCGAAATGTAACGTACGAATCGAACGCCTGACTTCACCCCAGACAGATGTGCCTTTATGAACCCTGTACAAATGTAGTACTGACTATCGGCTGCATTTTCATTGAATGGCATGAAGAAACACAAAAATCGGATAATGAGGACGGGCAGCACTTTTTCACTGAAGCGTGAGCAAACAGAGTAGGCGGGGAGGGGGGGGGGGGGCTGTGTCCCCCTACCCCTCCCCCCTTTCACTACAACCCTGCGCTTCCGCGGGACCCCAACACCCTGATCAGCGGTCAGATGCAGCTCCTCAACAGGGGGGGGAGGATAGATGAGAGCAACCAGAGGTCAAAGCCAAAATCCCATTTGCCACAACCATGTTTTCTCAAGCCAGACCACAAGTTTCCAATTCACAGTGAGTCGCACCACGGCTGGGAAAAACTCTTCTGCTTCCAAGGATTACTTGAACTGGCAAAATTATAGATTTCGAATAGAGGGCGGGAACCTAATTTGGAGATGAAACCGTTTTTCCTTCTAAAATCCCCCCCCCCCCCCCCCCCCCTCTGTCTCTGCCTGTCTTTTTATTGCAGAATACCATATCTGTCGGCCTGCTGGTGTGTCTGCGTGTCAATCTCTTACCCTCTCTGCTCTCTTCCCCCCCCCCCCCCCCTCTCTCTCTCTCTTTCTCTCTCCCTCTTGTTATTTGTCCTTGGTACAGTGTTGAAACCAGGCGCGTGCACCGTATGAGTTTTTTGGTGTCTGGAAACCACCTTTTTTCGGGCAATCTTGCCAAAGGAAAAGCGTGCCTACTGGGTTGGTTATCCTGCATATGCGTCGAGCGACGGGCGGCTTACAGTACAGTGACTATGTCCTTATTTCGAAGTGAGAGAGAGAGTTGCTTTGCATTCAGTTCAAAATACATTATTCTCTCTTTCTTCAGTGGAGAGTAGCGACAGAGAGATCGATCTCTAGCTCTGGTTCGCTCCTGGATTGGCGATGACATTCAAGAAATCCGTTTTGTCTCGAAATTTGAGTCAAGCCTGCGCGATGCAAGTCAGTTCAAGGGTATGATTGACGATATCTCCTTCCAAACTGTTGACTCAAATCAAGATTTCCACAGCCTTTCGTTCTCGCTCATGTGCGCAGCAGAGATGTTCGTCAAAAACGTTGTCGACTGGAGGACGTAAAAATGTGCGTCCATGATCCACTTGCGCTGATCCGGCCGCGAATCAAGGACGCGGGGCTTCGCTTTTCTTCCGCGAGCGTCCATCGAAGCAAGGTCCATAACTCTTTATTGAAATCATGTGGAACATTGCCAATACATGCTGAAAACTTCGTCATAAGAACAGAAAGAAAAGATACGTCGAATGTAAGCAGTGTTTTGATGAAAAGAACAAGCCTGGAGTGGACTAGTGAAGTACCATAGACATAGTGTTATAGACTGTAGTGTAGCCTGGGCGGCTAGGCCTATCAAACCTTTACGTGTTCAATATGACAAACATGTATTATGAGTCATTGACTTTTGCACCCCCTTTGCAAATACTTTTTCAAGTGCTGGTATGTAAAAGGTAACCCGGCCGTACCCGTTTTATCCTGCTACCGGTTTAATATACATGTACCAACATTTCCATGCAACATCGTCCCCTCCCTCCATTTCTCATTGCTCCTATTTCTGTTCTTTCTACCCCTGGACCTGGTTCCCTCTCAGACGCGTTTGTGCCGGAATGATCAGATTCTGATGATAGCAGTCGGAACCCCGCGTCTCATCAGCACCAGTGTTCATTGGTGCCCTGCACCCCTAATCTTGAGTCCCCCCCCCCCCTCCTGCTCCCTAGCCCTCGCCGTCTCATCAGCACCAGTGTTCATTGGTGCCCTGCGCCCCTAATCTTGAATCCCCCCCCTCCTCCTCCCTAGCCCTCGCCGTTATCTCCGGCGGGATGTTGGAGGGATGCGCATGTGCACAAATACATAACTATACAGTGGGTCTACAGAAAAATTTCCAACTCTAGAAACCCCCCTTTCAAGACTCGGTGCACGCCACTGGAAACATGGTGAGGCGTCATCTTGAAGCTGCCCTGCCCAGCGGTGGCCTCTATTCGTTCCTGGCTTGACTGTCAACTGTCTACATTCTACTGGTAGTGAGTCGCTCGACAGCAGAACACCTCAAGCATCTGAAGACCATCTTCCATCACTTGGCAGAGTATGGTCTGGTGGTCATTGCAAGCAAGTGTGTCTTCATGCAGCCCTCCGTGACATTCCTGGGTCACAATGTCAAAGCCACTGCCGGCGGTGGCATTGAGACACTGGCAGAGAAGGTCAAGGCCATGGTGGACTACCCTGCTCCAGACACTCACTCTGCTCTCTACCTCGCTTTCTGGGTTTAGTAAATCTCTACCGACGCTTCATCCCGGATTGTGCATGCATTCTTGAGCCGCTCTCGGATTTGTTAGCAGGCCCTCAATCTCCCACGAACCTTTGTCGCGAACGTAGCAATAAAATACATAAAAATAAATTCGGAATAACTCATTTCTATTTTGCATTACATGACGATGATTAACATTAGTGTTTTCGTATATACCATGACAATGATTGTGCTCTCTTACTCTCTCTTACATTGTGGCTGATTCCACGCTTGGGTTAGCAGAATTCTGGTTCCCTATCTTCATTTCTAAGGATTGACTCCATTCCACTTCAAAGTAGCTTCGGAGGTAGTCTTCGTTTCTCTAGTCTTTGCATTTCGTTCTGAAACAAATTCTTCGTTTAGTTTTCGTACCGTGAGTAAAGTAACCTACATTGTATATTGACCTTGTACTCAGTCAGTATTACTTTGAGAAGTAAGTAAGTTAGTTAGTTGAGTGATTGATCCAGACCGTCCTTCGCCTACAGACACGTCAGGCCCAGGATCCACTGAGTCTGTACTTCGAGTTCTACTTCAGGACCACTGGTTGCGCAGTTAAAAAGCAGAGAGTATTTTAGTAGTTATGTGCTGGTAGAGCGGAGGCGGATCGGGCAGCACAGTACGCTAGCACTGGCCATACCGCTAAAGAGCCATGGCGTGCAAAGAAGACGCCAGCGATCGTGTCGCAGCTTCTACTGGTGGCGGCGAGAAACGCAGTGCGAGTGAGTCAGGCACGTCAGGCCTAGGATCTACTGCTCCATACGCCAAATTGCAGGAAAACAGGATTCCCAAGGCAGTACGCAGACTTCGAGGTTTGTTGGTTGAGCAGTATGTCGGCGCTACCGTTGACATGGGAGAAGGAATGGTGGACGAAGGACTAAGCGAGCCGAGTGTTTCAGATGTACAAGTTCAACTGATCATTTTGCCCAGGCCAGAGCTTCAGCAGGAGTTCAGGAATACTAGCTTCGATACCGCAGGTGACATATGGCGTGTGGAACTCGTTTTCACAAAAGCAGCCAGTAGTTTGAAGAACATTTCGCTGGAAAGTATTTTCAATCTGAGTGATGAACAGAAGCTGGAGTTCACGAGTGGTGGTCGGACTTGCCGCATCTTAGCAGTCGCCAGTGCTGGGTGCGGTAAGACCTTTGTTTTCACTTAAGTCGGTCCGTTCAAATGGACTCGGAATGAGATATGGAATGAGTTGCAGCAAGGAAGCAGTGCAACATAGATGTTCGGGAAGCGACAAATATCTGTGATCTGCTGGGCGTGGAAGAGCTGGGAGAGTTTACAAGTGACGAGCGCAAGAGTATCGACGGTTTTGTGCGCCAACAAGCGCATCGAGTCTGTATTGTATTTGACTGTCTTGATGAGATACTCCTGATTGACTGCAGTGGTTTTGTTCGCGGCATCATGAACGGCTCATCAGTGAAGGGACTCCGTCTGGTTGTGACATCACGGCCATGCACAGAGCTACTGATTCTGTGGCAGGAAATAATTCGATCGCCGTGTGGAACTTATCAGTTTCCGGAAGGAAGATATTGATGTGTACATCGGGAAGGTGCTGAGGTCAGCAGAAGAAGCATCTGCCTTGATAACGGCCGAGTTGCTGCAATGCTCACTGCGACATCTGCAATCGTTGTTTCCGCTTAACCCAGGGACGCAACCGCCATCGCTATTCAACGCACTGCCACCGTCCAACGACCAGAGAACGGGACAAGTTCCCGCATATGTGTATCTGCTCTTGCCGGTTCCGACTAGTCTCGCGTCTGTGTGTGTGTGTGTGTGTGTGTGTGTGTGTGTGTGTGTGTGTGTTTGCTTGTCCCACATCGTGCAATGGTATGTACAGTCGATTTCAAATCAAGAGGTTGTGGGTTCAATTCCCGACGATTATGGTCACACATGTCTTTCTTCTCTTTCTTGCTCTCCTCCTGGCTCTTCTTTTGTTTACTTGGGTGACCACACACCGCCAGTGCATGCCGGAGTATGTGGTTTAATGTGCGTAGAAAACATGAAAAATGAAAAAAGAATGAAGACCAAAACAAGGGATTCGTTGAGCAAAAGCTTCACTTCGAAGCTATGTAGTATAGACCAGGCTGAATAGTGATGGTGAGTTTTTCAGCCATGCCAGCTGTTGAATAGTGCAATCACAGCACAAGCTGCTATGACTTTGGTTGTATCATTCATCGTGTTGGGCGATGGGTGTCTCTTAAGGCGTGTGTGTGTGTGTGTGTGTGTGCGCGCGCGCGTGCGCCAGTACTTCAGTGCTGGTTTTTCATTCCGTTCTAATTCACGGTTCTTGGTATTTGTCCCACAGACCAACTTCAGATGAGCCTATGGATGAGCAGACAAGTCCCACGATTGACAAAGGTAAATGCGACCTTCACTCCTAGGCAAAACCACTAGGACCCATGATGGGTTCCTGGGCCAGCATGCACCGACACTTCATGATTTGTATTGCTGAGGATGGTGTACACACATGCGCACAGTACTTGTGCAATTACTGTAATTTCACAAATTTTCGGTGTACTTTTATTTTCGGTACTTTCGGTGCGTCTGTTTCATACCTAAAATTTCAATACACCGAACAAACACTTACACACATAATCCAATAGGGAACTGCTTCTCTGTACCGAAAATTTCTGTTCACCTAACCTGGCCTTTCGCCCTCATACCGAAAATATTGAGCACCGAAAATTTCTGAAATTAGAGCAAACCTGCCATCACCAGACACCATCACAATTTCGCATTTCATTTGTTCACTAATGCTTAGGCAATGTACAACAGCTCCAGAGTCTACTCTGAGGAGACAGGGAACCTTAGAGGAGGACAGTAAGTGGATCTCAGAAAGTATAAATTGCTCCATAAAAGCACACACACACAATTGCTACTAATCAACAACTACAGTCCATTCATCTGAAACAGTCCCGGTGACTTTTGAAAGTCCGATTGGGGCCGAATTGAAGATCAAAAACCCACTTTAAATTTCAAAAATCTGGGTTTGGGATCTGCTTCTCCACACATTTTGCCATGGCATACATGTCTTGATTTTGTAAAACCTGGCTGAATTTCTATTTCCCTGTTCTTGGACTTTTCTGCCCTGAAATGTGGCAAGGAGTAATTTGCACGGGTCACACAATGCAGGATGTACTGTTGTTTTCAGGATATCTACAACTATGTGCGGGAGACACCAAAAACTTAGTGTGCCAGTTTCCAATGAATGGACTGTACACACGCACGCACCCACACACACACGTGCGCACACACACACAAACACACGCACACACCACTAGTGGTACTATTGGGCGAATTGTTTTATTCCCATCCAAATTAGCAACAGAAACCATCAAAAAGAAGGCATAAAGCAACAGCAAATGAAGGCATGGATGCAAGAAACATCCAATTTCCTAAAAAAAAGAAGAAAATAAAGAGAAAAAGAGTGAATGAAGTCTCACACACTGAGAAGCATAGAATAGAAACCACTAAAAAGCGATCAAATAGACCCACTCAAACATGGATAAAACACAGTCAGCACGTTTCCGCAGCAAATCAAGGCAAAACTTTCAACATACAACAAATCAATACAACAACACCAACAACAAGAATGGATCTGGTTTGAATAGTGGGGTAATAAATCTGTCCCCGGGGAAAATTGCGATTCCGCGGCCGCGTTTTTTCCGCGTTTTTTGCGATTTTTTAAAAGACCGCGTTTTCCGCGATTTTCCCGCGTTTTTTGAACTTTTTGTTGCACTACACGTACACACAGTGCACTTTTCGGTCAGCAACGTCTCATCTTGGCGGCTTTTTACTCAAATAATGGGTGCTTTATACACCAGAGACTTGTAACTGATTGATTTCACTACATACTCACTGAAAATATCCGCATTCACCGCATATTTACCGCATATTTACCGCAAATTCACTGCAAATTATGCCATATTATGCCGCGTTTTTCCCCTGCGTTTTTTGCGATTTTTTTCCGCAATTTTCCCCGGGGACAGATAAATAAACTTAAAAAAGCGAGGACCATAAGTTTACAAGTTATCCGTTTTGTCCAACACTAACGATTACCGTATAATACCGTTGATCCGCCCCCCCCCCCCCCTCCCCCCCCACGCGATGTCGCTTCCCAGCTGGTTTTTCGGCAGGGGGCGGGAATTAGATCAAGGCTGTGAAGTGCAGTACGATGTACAACAACGTCGAGGATCAGACTCGATGTGTTGCATTGTGCACATTTTCATCCTGGATTGGCACGTATTGTGTACAGCAGTGCAAGCGTCGGTTCAACATCGTATTTCGTTGTATACGCCGAAATCGCTTCACAGGTAGAACATCGACAGGGGGCGGGAATTAGAGAGGGGGAGGATCAACGGTACTTTACGGTATAAGCAGGATACTGTTGAGTCAAAATGTGCAACAATTAACACAAAACTGACTGATGTGATACTGACATTCAACGACCTGATGCTTAGCTGCATCACGTCTGGAATGCGCAAACCAACAGCCTTCCAACTTGGAAGGTTCTAAGTTATGAAAGCGATCAAATAGACCCACATTCCAGACGTGATGCAGCTAAGCATCAGGGTGTTGAATGTCAGTAACACATCAGTCAGTTTTGTGCTAATTTTTGCACATTTTGACTGAACAGTATCCTGCTTATAATCGTTAGCCTAAGTGTTGGACAAAACGGATAACTTGTAAACTTATGGTCCTCTCTTTTTAATTTTAATTCTTACCTCTCCATCTGAGTTAAATAAATAAAGTCAGTCCATGTGAAAAGAACATTGACGGTCATAGTCAGGTCAAAAGATGAACACGGGCCCGGCACTCCATGACGAAGCCATGAGCACCGCCACCAGCATGCCTCCTGACATAGGACGCACGAGCACCACAAAGGCAGGAAATTTGCCACCGCACAAGGCACAAACTGATCCTCGAGCGCAATTGCCTCACAACCAGGGAATACGACAGGTCACAGTGACGGTCGTGAATTCGTGCAGCCAAAGTGCGCAGGAAAATGGTTGCCTCTGTTACACATGCCATTCGTTGCAAACACCAGGGGCATGAACGATCCGCGATCAACCTTGTTGATACGTTCGGCTTATCGGCGCTTCTTCTGACGCTCGTGATCAGTCAATTGGCTCATTACTTGTGATCGCGACAGCAAAGATGGCCTTGGGTCAGTAACCCGAACACCAAAAGGCGTTTTGCTGCCGCGACAAGAAGCCACAAGCCCTGACATCCACACGAGCGCCATCGGCAGTGTTGCCTGACACAGCCTCACCCTCCAATGGAGCAAGTGGGGGCTCAGTCTCCACGTCACACACCACCTCTGCCGGCGTGTCGGCAAAGAGGCCCCGTAACTGGTTATGGCGCTGAGTAGGATACCCTCCGCCAGGGCATGTGAATGCACGACAAGTCATGTCACGGCCACAGACGCACGATGAAGGCACACTACTCAGAGCCAAACCATAGCGCAGACACAAAGTGTCAAGAAAGCCGTTTTGTTGAGTACATTGTAATATGCTGCTTGTGGTTAAACCGTGGGCGGTGTACCCAGTCAGGTACATACGCTACCATCGCCGGCAACCTCGACCAGAAGCCGCTGCTGGTCAGGCAGAGAGTGCTTGATACTGGTCAGAACAGATTGCTGCTGAGCATGACGCTCTGTGCACACCGCAGAAGAAAGAGTCCTACAGCATGCGATGACTGCACAGGCAGGACCAGGGGTGCGAGATAGCACAGACTGGACCATCGGCTCAGTTGAGACAGGGCACAGCTGATACTCTGCCTCCGCTCACTGACCAGATATGCCGACTGCCAAACCACCCAACTTCACGGGCAGGGACAACAATTTCCTGAGATCACCCTCAACAGGCAAAGTGTGACCCGTTGAAGCGGGGAGAAGACTCTGGACAATGACTGTATCCAGGGGCCCACAAAATTGAGGGTCCGGGCCGCAATAACTCGCTGGAGGAAGGACCACCTTGACTGAAGGGATGTGACGAACAGGTGATAAGCAGCCTGGGGCTGCGTCATGGCAACCGTGGACAGGCGCTGAACGAGGCCAGCCCAATTCACCACACACTCACGAACAAAATGGGCACAAAATTCTTGCGTACAGACGGCTCCTCCAAGATATCACACGCCGGCTGTACGAACCGAAACACCTGTCCCAGCCAAAGTCTCCTCGGCAAGGAGAGCTAGATTGGGCTTTGCCAGGAGATCGGTCTTCTTCAGGTTAGGATAGTACCCGTACTTTGGACCTTCATCCGGTATCACCTTCTAGTACGACAGCAACGCCAGTACCTTGACTGCGGCAGCGTCATTATTGGCATACCACACTTGTCCTGCAGAGGGGCAGACCTCCTGCAGATGACGAATAAGGGGAATCAAGGCCAAAACGTAAAAGGCCATGGCTAGTGGGTTGCCTTGACAAGTACCCACCCTCGTCTGGATCACTTCACCACCCTCCTGGAGAAGTGGTATGTCGCTTTGGGACGTGTTAATGAACACACGTCCGGCAGCCGGACATATCCGGAGAATATTATGCAATGCGCAGCCCTGTTCATTGCATTGAATCAAGAGTGGATAAACAAGAGTGTGCAACTCGCGGATGGGTTGGCCCATGGCAGAATTTTTTGTTGACGTAATCTTTTCGACGACGCACGCGCTGCGAGTCTTTCGGAAAGTTTTCCCTCGTGGTCTTGGTCCAGCTTTGCATTACAAGGTCGGTGCCCAGCACGTGCTCTCACACTGCTCTGCGGCAAAATACGCGTTTCTCTGAAAAAAGGTGACGTCAACAAAAAATTCCGCCGCGGGGGTATCTGCAGATTGTGCAGGAGAGATCCGGAGTTGCACACTCTTGTTGATCTACTCTTGATTGAATGCATTTGAGGCATCGACAAGTAAAACGGCGTCAGTGCTCTCCTTGCCGTACAAACTGGACAATGCCTGGATTCCCACCTCCCGCGCAGAAGGAAGTCCCACACAGTTGGAGAGGAGCAGTGATAGCTGTCACATTACTCTCAATGACGGACATTGTTGCTTTCCCGACTATGCGCCGAAACACCTCACCAATGGCGCTTGGCCTCACGCCTGGCTGCTTATCCAGAGGGATAAGACGGGCGGCCAAAAACGTCTAGAGATGTTTCGACTCCAGAACCTGCGTACATACACACTTGGCGGCACGTGTGAGAGCTGAGCACAAAAAGTTATATTAATACAACCCGGCGTCTCAAGTTGCCAGCTAAAAAGAGGTTAGTGATGGTTGTGTAGTATGACCATGAGGTCAGCCAAATGCCAGTGAGGCTCTGGAATCCATTTTGTCTTGCAGAGATGCAGGCGCCTGACGTACATGTATATAGTAGCAAACGCATGCACATACCTATATATGGTAGACCAACAGGACACCTGAACCCCAGAGGCCTCCCTAGCCCTCATACATGCCAACCGTCCAGGTTTTCCCGGGACAGTCCAGGGAAATAGGGTGTTTTCCCCGGGGTCCAGGGATGTCCTGCAAAAGTCCAGGGACTGAGATGGAAATTTTGAAATCGAAATTCTCCTTTTTATGACGCTTTTTCAGTGTTTCCTCAAACTTGTAGATCCGTTGTAAGTGCACACAGCATGTAGCATGTAGTAGACAACAAAACCCATGTGGAACATTTTTGCTTGCGTCCCATTATTTATATGTCCCATTATTTATGGACTGTTCACTGCGCCATGTTATGTTCGTTCGAGCTCACATCAACAAACGACATTGGAGAGATCAAACTTGAGTTGTCACCAAGTAAACTAAGGGGTTAATCCGTAAATATAGATATTTATTTAGAAACGAAAACTAGTCGTTTAGGGGGGAGGGGGTTGGGCGCCTGTTCCTTTCTTTAAAAATATCGATGCACAGTTTGTATGTGTGGGCACGTCCAGAAAAGAAAAGAAAACATATCGATCCTATGCATGGTTTGTATGTGTTCGTTTCTGAGGGAGAGGGAGGAAGGTTGAAGAGAAACTACTAGTATTCGTTTCTAAATACATATCGGTATTTACGGATGGCCCCTAAAACAACAATGATCCGTCATCACCAAAAACTCTAGAACAGGTACGGTAGAGATTCCCCCAAGGCAATCTCCACTCGTGACCTGCTACAGATATTATACACATACATCACAGACACGGCAGAGTTTTAGTCGTGTGGATGTAGTGAATTATGAGAGCGAATTATGAGTAAACGTAGTTTGTAGTAGTTCTGGAGTCATCCTTGTTCCCTGGGAGTGTAGGAGCCGTTCGATTGCGGGCGATTTTCGGAGAAAATGAGCGTGAGGCTGGTGGCAAGCCTACTCATATTTTGCACTAAATAAGCTTGATCAATGTCACAAAGGCAAGTTTCTGTACATTTACGAATATTCCTATTCTACTTTAAAACGAAGAATATTCTTTTTCCGCCTCGCATATTTCGAATATTCCTTTCAGCCCTAGTTTTTAAGCTGTGTTCCTACTTTTGAAGTATTGAACTTTATAAAATCGCTCACACAACCCCGTTATCACATGGACGCAGTGCACACCTGGCTTCTCTTGTCCATTCTATTAAGCTTGAGTTGTGCCCACCTCATCTCATGTGTTTTAATTGGTTCTCTTCTCTAAGAACTAGAAACTCACTCTTACTCCCTAAGTGTAACTCATCCACTCTTTTGCGCTCCCCTCTCTTTATTGCTTATTCTGTTTGGCTCACTCTACCCAGAGAAGTTAAGGACCTGACCTCACTCCGCCTGTTTAAGATCCGTGCCGCCCCTTATTTACTACGACATGCATAGCTCATTATCCACATGTCCTTTGCGTCTCTGTGTTTTTCACTGTTTTTATTTGACATTATCTTTCTTTACGGAGTTGTTGTTGCTGTTCGTTTTGCTACTCCTTCTTTTTCCCTCCCCTTCTTTCTATTTATCGCCGTGGTTGGCAATCACCCACTCTCGTAATATTGGCCGGTGTTTCCGCCGAGTCTTGAGATGTTGCAATAAATAAAAAAAAGTCATGTCCCCTGTGGGCGCAACTAACTTCCTTATACGATTATCGCCGAGGTTGCTACCACTATTTCGTGGTAAATGAAGCCGTAAGGAAGTTGGTTGCTCCCACGCTGCAGCGCTATTCCCGTTGACCTGACTTGAGCCTTGACTGACTCACGACTGACTGTTTCAGCGTGGGAGCAACTAACTTTCTTATACGATTATCGCCGAGGTCGCTACCACTCATTCGTGTTAAATGAAGCTGGTTGTTCTTCAGTGCAGTACATGCATCCACGCAATCCACACCGGTCCAAATGAACACTAGGAAATTTTAGAACCAAACATTTTCGTTCCCTTCTTTTCATAGGCTCTTACAGGGAATAAAGCAAAAATAACTATCTTCCTCTCCCCAAGCACCAGCAGCACTGTTAGCAGCAGCTGCAGCAGCAGCTGCAGCAGCAGCTGCAGCAGCAGTAGCACCTTCAGCAGCATCACCAGTAGCACCTTCAGCAGCAGCATCACCAGTAGCACCTTCAGCAGTATCAGCACAAGCAGTGGCAACTTCGGCTGCAGCAGTATCACCAGTAGCAGCTGCAACAGCAGCACCAGGATCCCCTACAGTGGAAATACCAGTAAACACAATAGGGTTCTTCACATTCAACACCCAACAGGGGCTACGGGATTTTCTGCGGAATTCCGTTCATCTGTACACCATGCATTATGCTTATACAGTATGTGTTTGTGTATGCTGACAAGTCCACAAAGGATGAAACAGTTCTCTCCGTAGATTGGGTATGTGTATGTTAAATACAGTGTGTGGTGTGTATAAAAGTATACATGGCATACTGAAATGGAGCCACATGCATGTAGCACAACAGTGATTTAGATGCCAAGAATCCTTGCCAGGTTAGCCATTGCCATGGTATAAGCATACTTAGATCAACCACTGATGATGTACAGGTCCAGACTGGAGTGATGCACATCGACACTCTAGAACCTGGCTGTGTTAACCTAACGTATACGGCTGGCCATAAATCATTTTTTGTATGTTTGTTCGTGTGTGTGTTTTTATCCCATGTATATCTTGATTAGACGAGGATGAGAAGTCGTACGGCGATCCATTCCAACAGCGTGAGTTTATAACCGATATTTTGCCTTGGTTGGGCAAATTACCAGCTGGAGCATTTCGTAAAAGAGCGCAAGAGGTCGGGTTCTTCACTGATCTGCAGCAGATAGAAGACTTGAAGAGGATTGAGAGACTAGATGGACAACGCATTCACAACGCAGAGTTGATCAACATTCTAAGCAGCGAGGAAATGGCCGGCTACATCAAGCTAGTGGTGCTCATCGCAAGCTGGGGTAACTATCCCGACAAGGTCGACAAGATGAACCAGCTTCTGCCACGACGGGCTCGTGTGTCAATGGTAGGTTGCGTTCATTTCTTGCGCTACAGTAAGATCGGGCGCCGAAGAACGCAGGGGCTCGAGCGCAGCCTAGGAAAGTTCTTAAATTTTTGATTCTAGCCAGACCGTTCTTATTCACACGCGCGCGGGGAGTCGAGTGACATGGCGTTTGTCATGTACATGTACATGTACATGTAGTGCAATGTAGTACATGTACTTCTAAACTAGTGGGTGTCGTAAATGGGAATGACTGTACATGTAGCAGTTACTGTTTACACGTGTACATGACATGTACTCACCTCCCATACATGTACAATGTAGATCTACGTACAATGTAGATCTAGTGTTCTTAAATCTGATAATTCTAGCCCGGACTGTTCTTAAATTTTGCCGGTTTTCCAGCCTGGGCGTTCTTCGGCGCCCGATCTTACTGTACCTGAATTCCAAATAAGTCATTGAAACGCAGATCTCTTGTTTGGCTATGAAATTGTGTTTCTCATTAGATATTGTCCCAGTTGTGATAGAAAGTATGCTGATGAAGTGTCCATTGTTCATAAATCAAATTGGAGAAAAGTCAAATTTCCTTACGACTGGAAATTTGGAGCACATATACTGATACCTCCTCCGTTAACAAAAACTTCGTGATGGAGATTTGAGGGACTGGTTTGCGCACAAACGGCCGTGAAATAAGTCGCAATCACTTTCTCGGCCTTCCCTGGCATGCCATGAAAGAGATACGATGCAAGGAAAGCAACCTTTCACAACAAGCGAGCGGAATCGATGGTTGAGCTGTGGCAACATAGGTGAGGACAGTAATGGCGAGCGAAATTGACTAAAGATATTAATTATAATAGTATTTGATGATAGACCAGTTCCAAGAAAACAAACGATAATAGTTGCGTCATATCATCACATTCGATCGTCAGTGATTCACACTGCTCACCGGGGGCAGACGCAAAAACGGCCCACCGAGGGCTAGCCTGCAGCTGCCCACCGTGGACCGGTGACACGAGCGGCTAGCGAGGCCAACAGCCAGCACACTGAGGGCTAAGTAATCCTGCCCGCCGTGGGCCGTTAGCATATTGCCCACCAAGGGCACACAAATGGCCGACGTGGCCAGCAACCTGCCCGCTGCGGGCGCATGAATGGCCGCCGAGGCCAACAGCTTACCCATCGAGAGTTAAAGCATCCGGCCCAACCGAGGGCGCGCGAAGAAGCGTATAGCCCAAACGAGGGTGCATGATTATAGCCCGACCGAGAGCGCATGATTATAGCCCAACCGAGGGCGCATGATTATAGCCCGACCGAGGGCGCATGATTATAGCCCGACCGAGGGCGCATGATTATAGCCCGACCGAGGGCGCATGATTATAGCCCGGCCGAGTGCGCAAGAATAAGCGTATAGCCCAATCGAGGGCGTGCGAACTGCCGCCGAGGCCAGCAACCTGCCTACCGAAGGCTAAAGCATGCCGCCCAACCGAGGGTGCACAACGGCCGTCGAGGCCAATAGCCTGCCCACCGCAGGCTAAAGCAAACTTCCCGCCAAGGGATAAAGCGTAGTACCCACCGAGGGCCAACGATGCTGCCCACCGTGGACCGATTATATACTGCCCACCGAGGGCTAAATCATACTGCCTATTGAGCAAACGAACAACCACCGAGGCGACAACCTGCCCACCAAGGGAAAAGCATACTGCCCGCTAGGGCCGAAATTATACTGCCCAGCGAGGGCAAACGAACGGCCACCGAGGCCAAAAACTCACACAACTGCCTGGCATTAGGCGTCACACCACACGCATACGATATGATGCCCGCTTGCACCCCAAAAAAGTGATAAACCTAGAAGCCATGGCACCCCCCACTACGGAAGGTGTATTTTTACCCTCAGCATTATACCTATGCATAATCATATGATGCTGCCGCTACCTTGAGATTGAAAGAGAGAGATTGAGAGAGAGAGAGAGAGAGATTGAGAGAGAGATTGAGAGAGAGATTGACACATATGTGTGATTGTTTTCCTCTGTTTTTTTTCTGACTCTCTATGAAGGAGGCCAAACATCAGCAGCAAGCAGGTATGTGACAAATCAGAGGAGAGAGGAGAGAGAGAGAGGAGAGAGAGGCCCGGAGAGAGAGGCCCGGAGAGAGAGGCCCGGAGAGAGTGGCCCGGAGAGAGAGAGAGAGAGAGAGAGAGAGAGAGAGAGAGAGAGAGAGAGAGAGAGAGAGATAGAGAGAGAGAGAGGGAAAGAGAGTGTGTTTGACACATATATGTGATTTTTTCAGAGGAGAGGGAGAGGAGAGAGAGGCCCGGAGAGAGAGAGAGAGAGAGAGAGAGAGAGAGAGAGAGAGAGAGAGAGAGAGAGAGAGAGAGAGAGAGGAGAGAGAGGCCCGGAGAGAGGCCCGGAGAGAGAGGCCCGGAGAGAGAGAGAGAGAGAGAGAGAGAGAGAGAGAGTGTGTGTGTGTGTGTGTGTTTGACACATATGTGTGATTGTTTTCCTCTGTTTTTTTTCTGACTCTATGAAGGAGGCCAAACAGCAGCAGCAAGCAGGTATGTGACAAATCAATTCTCAAACTTCTTCCCCTCCGATTGCGTTAAGTTTGAGTTTTACAGAGTTCAATGCCATGACTTTAGCTGAAAAAAGTTTTTTTTGCAGATTCAGTTACATGTACTTGTGGTCTGTGGACTGACTGACTCTGTGGTGGTGACAGTTTTTCTTTGGACTTTCCCGTTTTGAGTTGGACTGTCCCTCAGACTTATTATGAATAATCAAATAAAACGGTCGTGTACCGATGATCGATATCGTCTTTCGTCATGTAGATCTACAAGTAGTAGTAAGTAGTAGCAGCAACTACTAGTAGTATCTAGTAGTACGTAGATCTATTGTACAAGTGCAAGTGGGCGCTATGCGCACTGCAAACACCAAGAAAGGCAAGCGAACGTGCGAACTTTTCGGCACAGGGAGTCCTGAACTGAGCCCTGAACCGGCATACCCATGATGGCGGAGGGGTAATCTTCTGTCATGGCACAACCGGGCGCGGGTCCGACTGGAACTGCAGAGAATCGCCTAAAGCCGGGCCAGGACGAGCGAGTAACCGTGGCCGAGCCATCTGCTGAAACGGCCAGTCACTTTCATTCCATATTTGCCCTGGACATGGGCTGCGACAATTGCGACAAAGACCGAACTCTGGCTTATCAAGGAGCGTGCTTCCTACTCAGCGATCTGAACTGTGCAGCTAGCAAGGAGTACATCTTCGCGACTGCCGCACATAATCTGCTCTGCAACGATTGCGGCCACTGGGTCTGGGTACAAATCTACAGCGATTTATCTGAGGACCAGTTCCTAACCATGGGAAAGATAACCCACAAGAACAAGAATGGCTGGTTGATCGTTCCTGACTGGTACAATGACAATGCCAAGGATGCAAAGAAGAATAGCAATCCTGACCGATTTCGACACGACTATGGCATAGTAGCAGCCAAGAAGAGTCGCTGCAAGTATCCGCTAGTATAGACCGTATCCAATGACGTCACGGATCGCGCGGCCAAGGGGGCTGCAGAGTCACTGAGTGGCAAAAGAGAGTTTTGAGTTTGAAAGTACAAACGGTCGAACCACTGAGTTTGGGCGGGAGAGGTTCGAGACGAGAAGAAGAAGGCAGCAGTTAGTAATGGATGGCGATCAAAGCGAGGTAGTGGAGTTTTCATCAGAATACAAGAAGTTGGATGAGGCTGCAAAGAAAAGGCACGACGAAAAGCTAAATTTGATCGCGAAGGGAGCGAAAAGCCCGTACTACGCCAGTGGCCATCAAGGCGATCATTTGTCAGACTTGCTTCCTCTAGTCGAATATCCGGACTTGTACAATTACTTAATTGCAGCCCCTAGCCCGGTAACGAAGGAAGAACTGAAGACGTATAAAAGTCTCGACGGTCACAAGTTCTTGGTGGCAGCGTGGGAGATGTGAGTGCGTACGAGGCGACATCGGATCGCGAAAAGAGAGTTGTAAAAGCAAAGGACTCCCAGTCAGTCAGCAGCGACCCTCTCACACCGTGGATAGCTGCAGAACACAATGGCACTATTATTCCCGTAGCTATGCAGAAGACGTTACTTCAGTAACGTCTGGCGCTAGCCAGGGTCCACACAGCTTTAATTTGGTATTTGTGCGTTTGTGTGTTTGTTTGTTTGTTTGTTTGTGTCACGCCTGGCGCTATCCGTATCTGACGGCAAAAAAGCATAGGATGTTATAAATTTTTCAATTTTTCCTATTTTTTTAGGCAAATCCTGGGATTTGAACCCGCAGTATCGCCCTACATGCATTCCCCCATACACTTCGCATTCATACCCATTCTTCCAAGTTGCTTCACGTTATTATCTTGCGTTTGAAAGCCCTATTTAAATATTGCGGGCAGCTGTATGTGGCCAGCTGTGTTTGATGGTACGGTACGGTACGGGAGACGGTGTCGTATTACCCTCGATCGTACCTGTCCCCTACCTATCCCTACCGTACCGTGCCATCAAAGACGGCTGGCCACAATGCATATTCAAATAGGGCTTTCAAATGCAAGATCACAATGTGAAACAACTTGGAAGAATTAGTATGTATGCGAAGTGTATCGGGGGATGCATGCAGGGCGCGCGATAGTGCGGGTTCGAATCCCAGGTTATGTCTTAAATAAAAGGATTTTTTTTTAAGAATTTATAACATCCCTATGCTTTTTTTTGTCTAGGTCATCAAGGCAAAAAAGCATAGCGTAGGGCCCTGAGCTTCCAGGCTCTCTCGTTTGCGCCCACTGCACCTTCAAAGCGGGGCTGGGTGAAGCATGCGCCCACATCGCTGCTTTATTGTTTGCCTTGGAATCGCACACTAAACTTGTGTCTGACAACGCCTGCACATCAAAGGGATGTGTGTGGTTGCCACCGTCCATAAAGTCAGTTGACTACACGAGAATAGCTGATATGGATTTCACCTCCCCCAGCAAGAAGTCAAAGACATCCAAGTCGTCTGCTGCTTTACCCAGCCCAACATCTTCTCCTGTTATTTCGGCCAGTGCACCAACAACGTCAGAACTGGATGGATTTTACAGCAAATTGTCCGAGGTGGCAATGCCAGCCCTGCTGTCCATCGTGCCGAATTACGCAGATGCATATGTTTCAAAGCTACCATCTGATATTCCTGCACCACTGTCCAACTTGTATGAGGAGTCGATGGTCTCAGGCAATTACAGTGACTTGCTTGACCGATGTGATGCAGTGTAGCACTTCCCTTTTTTTTGTTCACACTCTTAACTATGCTGTTATAAAATGTATTTTAGCACTATGTTTGACACCTATTATGTAGTGCTGTAGCAGCTCCCTTTTTTGTGTTCACACTCTTATTGTGCTGTTATAAAATGTTCTTTTTGTACACATTACCCTCAGTTCCGATAATATTCACTGATGAGCGGAACACGAAAATCGTTTTGAATAACATAAAAATCCTTTAAAATTCCATTAACTCGTTGTCTGGCCATGTCTGCATCTATTATACTCTTTATTGCACTCATAAAATTGCTTTCTCCACGCTGACTCTTTAAATTATTATTATTATTATTAAGAAGCTTCCGTGGAGATAAAAATTTAATCAACGCAATAAATAGAGTAAGCTGCGCACTCAGTACAAACACCATAAGCAAAACTTGTTTTCATGTAAATAAAGAAGCTTGTTCCTAAACGTTTTCGTCGCCATCTCATCAGAGGATTACTGGCAAATCAACAAAAGTTTTGCTTATGGTGTTTGTACTGAGTGCGCAGCTTACTCTATTTATTGCGTTGATTATTATTATTATTATTATTATTATTATTATTTTTGAACGGATTGGGAGAACTTCAAATGCAAAGGATCAGTTGGGGAAGTGAACTGCCTGAAAAGAGAAAAAACCGCCAGACCCACCAGGACTCGAACCTGGGACCCTGCTTGGCGGTTTCTTCTCTTTTCAGGCAGTTCACTTCCCCAACTGATCCTTTGTATTTGAAGTTCTCCCAATCCGTTCAAAAATTAATCACTTTTCTTTCACTTCTGGTAGGGTCCAGAAACTGACCGTGGTTGGTCCCCTGGGGGAGGGAGAAAGACCCAAGTGCCATCAGTATGTGTGGCACGTGTTGTGAGCTGTCTTTAGAGTGAAAAACTTGTCAACGCCTTCTAGGTTCAGCCTGGTCCCATAGCTCAGTGGTAAGAGCATTGCTCATGACAAGCAGGGTCCCAGGTTCGAGTCCTGGTGGGTCTGGCGGTTTTTTCTCTTTTCAGGCAGTTCACTTCCCCAACTGATCCTTTGTATTACGAAGTAGTGGTTGCGACTTCGGCGATGCTTTGTAAGAAAGGGTTTGCTCCCCACACCGGAGCTCGCGTTATTCCGCCGACTTTACTTGACACTTGACTGACTCACGACTGCCATCCAGAGCACACGAGAAGTCCATCGAACCTTCGACTCGGCAAACCTGCAAGAAAGCACCACTCCCTGCTCAATACACAGTTTTTCGGGGAATTCACCCCTCATCAGTTGAGCTTGAGTAGGCTGAGGAAGATTGTGCCTGAAGAGCACCACTTATATAGTGCTCTCCAGGCACAAACATCACCAGGGATACAAACTTACAGAGACGCTCCGTTTCCAGCGCGACAAACACCTCGTGAACACCAGATAGCAGCGTGAGTCAGTGTCGCTCCTGGACGGTGAGACAGACGTCGAGGACCCTCAGTCATTCGCAACGCTGTCACCTCCAAACCAACTAGTCGCAAGCCCGCGCTGGGCACAACAGTACGAAGTAGTGGTTGCGACTTCGGCGATAATTTGTAAGAAAGGGTTTGCTCCCCACACCGGAGCTCGCGCTATTCCGCCGACTTTACTTGACACTTGACTGACTCACGACTGCCATCCAGAGCACACGAGAAGTCCATCGAACCTTCGTTTTGAGCAGGGAGTGGTGCTTTCTTGCAGGTTTGCCGAGTCGAAGGTTCGATGGACTTCTCGTGTGCTCTGGATGGCAGTCGTGAGTCAGTCAAGTGTCAAGTAAAGTCGGCGGAATAGCGCGAGCTCCGGTGTGGGGAGCAAACCCTTTCTTACAAATTATCGCCGAAGTCGCAACCACTACTTCAAATTATTATAACCGCAATCAGTAATACAAGCTGGATCGACATTTGTGTACACTGTATTCATGTATCGTAAAACTGTGGAGATAATGTGCAATAAAACGATGCAAAATGTGAAAAAATTGTGTAGAGAAAGAAAGGGATTCAAACAAGTTTTCGTACAACACTCATCAGGAATCGTCGTTGTACTAAAGGACACTGAAACAAAAATTGAACTATTATAGAAAATCTAAGTTAGAGAAATAACACTAAGAGCAACAACAGTGAAATTTACAAGTGTGAATTTTAACAATCAAAGCGAGAAATGAACAAAGGAGAAAGGAAGGAAAGACAACGTGATAACACATAACAGCAGTACATTACACCTAGAACATTAACGACCAAGCTTGGCCGCACTAAACACGACACGTTACTTGAACAATTTCAACCCAATTATACTATCTTTCTGTACACACAAATTAGGCTTGTACAGACGCTGATAGATAGCTTCCAACACTTTTAACTGTAGTCCATAACCATGACGACCACGGCACAATACAGTGAACGAAGAGTCGGAATACGCACCGCAACAATCAGGACTAGCCAGCAGATGATTGTACACTGAAGACTTGCTACCACGAAACCTACGCACAACACTAACACTCTCACCGGCACTCTCACCATCACTTCCATCACCGCTCTCCGACTCACTGCTCCCTCCGCCGTCCGTTCCATCCTCCGCTTCCTCTGTACTCTCTCTGTCTCGTCCATCCCGCCTGACCGGGTCCATTGAACTCAACTCGGCCGTCCCCCTGCTATCACGTCCCTCCTTTCGCCCTCGTCCGCTGAGTGCGTAGCTTCTGTTGTAGTTGGCTGTTGATCGTCTTGGTCTTTCAATTATGGGCTTGGATGGTGGATTAGTTGTAGTTGCTGTAGATTGCGTTGTAGGTGTTGGTGTGGGAGTTACTGATATGCAAGGTGGGTCTTTTTGAGTCGGCATTTGTAGTGTTAATGCAGCTGTCAGTGTTGCTCGCGGTCTGCCACTGGCAAGCTCCACCGCCGCAAGAACCGATGGCGGAGGATCAGGAGGAGGCAGTGGGACCGGGACCGCAAGCGGCACCGCCCCAGCCAAAACCGCCGGGGGCACTGACGAGGGAACCACCGACGGCCGGAGCAAAGGCGGCGACACAAGCCGACCCGATGAGCCACCACGCCCATTCTCCTCCACCACCGCCACCAACGACGGCGGAGCAAGCACAGTCTGAGAGCCAGGATCCGCGGGTTGTATAGGCAACGGCTGTGTGGTTAATGGTTGTTTTCTAGGTCGCCCTCGCTTCGGTCTTTGTTGTTGTGCGCAAGGTGGAAGTATGTGACGTGGTGTGTGTTGTTTGATGCGTGCGTTCAGGTGCTGAACAGTCCTACCAACATACCGACTAGCGCATTGTCGGCATTCAAAGACGAAAACTTGTTTGAATCCCTTTCTTTCTCTACACAATTTCTTCACATTTTTCATCGTTTTATTGCACATTGTCTCCACAGTTTTACAATACATGAATACAGTGTACACAAATGTCGATCCAGCTTGTATTACTGATTGCGGTTATCAAATTGTTGTCTCCTCGCCGTTTGTTCAAATTATTATTATTATTATTATTATTTGGAAAGGATTGGGAGAACTTCAAATTCAAAGTGTTGTACATGTGGCTGCGCTTGTGTCTCTTCGTTGTACATGCGGTTGCACGTGTAGCTCTTTGTCGTTAATGTGGCTGCTTTTGTGTCTCTTTGTTGTACATGCTGCTGAGTCGTGGTACATGCTGCTGCGCTGTTTTTGACTCCTGCGTACATGCGGCTGCACCGTCTTCTGTCCCCGTTGGTACACACTTGCTCGTCTTGTCCCCGTTGTACGCCTTCAATCTAATATATTCTGTGTCTCGTCTTGTTTCAGTGTCAGTCGTCAGTCGTTCGTTGTCAGTGTTGGTTCTTCGTTATGAGTTCCCAGTCGCCTACTGAAATGAAGTAGAAGAAAAAGCTCTCTCGCATTGTACTGGTCCTTTGTTGTGTGGCGTGGCGAGGAGCGTAGAGGCAGCTCGTTCACGGTTCTCAAACCCGTGACGACAGTTTAGTTTTACTCGGCTTTTATTTCCTACATTGTATATTGACCTCGTACTCAGTCAGTATTACTTTGAGAAGTAAGTAAGTTAGTTAGTTGAGTGATTGATCCAGACCGTCCTTCGCCTATAGACACGTCAGGCCCAGGATCCACTGAGTCTGTACTTCGAGTTCTACTTCAGGACCACTGGTTGCGCAGTTGAAAAGCAGAGAGTATTTAAGTAGTTATGTGCTGGTAGAGCGGAGGCGGATCGGGCAGCACAGTACGCTAGCACTGGCCATACCGCTAAAGAGCCATGGCGTGCAAAGAAGACGCCAGCGATCGTGTCGCAGCTTCTACTGGTGGCGGCGAGAAACGCAGTGCGAGTGAGTCAGGCACGTCAGGCCCAGGATCTACTGCTCCATACGCCAAATTGCAGGAAAACAGGATTCCCAAGGCAGTACGCAGACTTCGAGGTTTGTTGGTTGAGCAGTATGTCGGCGCTACCGTTGACATGGGAGAAGGAATGGTGGACGAAGGACTAAGCGAGCCGAGTGTTTCAGATGTACAAGTTCAACTGATCATTTTGCCCAGGCCAGAGCTTCAGCAGGAGTTCAGGAATACTAGCTTCGATACCGCAGGTGACATATGGCGTGTGGAACTCGTTTTCACAAAAGTAGCCAGTAGTTTGAAGAACATTTCGCTGGAAAGTATTTTCAATCTGAGTGATGAACAGAAGCTGGAGTTCACGAGTGGTGGTTGGACTTGCCGCATCTTAGCAGTCGCCAGTGCTGGGTGCGGTAAGACCTTTGTTTTCACTTAAGTCGGTCCGTTCAAATGGACTCGGAATGAGATATGGAATGAGTTTGACCTAGTTGCAGCAAGGAAGCAGTGCAACATAGATGTTCGGGAAGCGACAAATATCTGTGATCTGCTGGGCGTGGAAGAGCTGGGAGAGTTTACGAGTGATGAGCGCAAGAGTATCGACGGTTTTGTGCGCCAACAAGCGCATCAAGTCTGTATTGTATTTGACGGTCTTGATGAGATACGCCTGAGTGACTGCAGTGGTTTTGTTCGCGGCATCATGAACGGCTCATCAGTGAAGGGACTCCGCCTGGTTGTGACATCACGGCCATGCACAGAGCTACTGATTCTGTGGCAGGAAATAATTCAATGGCCGTGTGGAACTTATCAGTTTCCGGAAGGAAGATATTGATGTGTTCATCGGGAAGGTGCTGAGGTCAGCAGAAGAAGCATCTGCCTTGATAACGGCCGAGTTGCTGCAATGCTCACTGCGACATCTGCAATCGTTGTTTCCGCTTAACCCAGGGACGCAACCGCCATCGCTATTCAACGCACTGCCACCGTCCAACGACCAGAGAACGGGACAAGTTCCCGCATATGTGTATCTGCTCTTGCCGGTTCCGACTAGTCTCGCGTCTGTGTGTGTGTGTGTGTGTGTGTGTGTTTGCTTGTCCCACATCGTGCAATGGTATGTACAGTCGATTTCAAATCAAGAGGTTGTGGGTTCAATTCCCGACGATTATGGTCATACATGTCTTTCTTCTCTTTCTTGCTCTCCTCCTGGCTCTTCTTTTGTTTTCTTGGGTGACCACACACCGCCAGTGCATGCCGGAGTATGTGGTTTAATGTGCGTAGAAAACATGAAAAAATGAAAAAAGAATGAAGACCAAAACAAGGGATTCGTTGAGCAAAAGCTTCACTTCGAAGCTATGTAGTATAGACCAGGCTGAATAGTGATGGTGAGTTTTTCAGCCATGCCAGCTGTTGAATAGTGCAATCACAGCACAAGCTGCTATGACTTTGGTTGTATCATTCATCGTGTTGGGCGATGGGTGTCTCTTAAGGCGCGTGTGTGTGTGTGTGTGTGTGTGTGTGTGTGTGTGTGTGCGCGCGCGTGCGCCAGTACTTCAGTGCTGGTTTTTCATTCCGTTCTAATTCACGGTTCTTGGTATTTGTCCCACAGACCAACTTCAGATGAGCCTATGGATGAGCAGACAAGTCCCACGATTGACAAAGGTAAATGCGACCTTCAGTTCTAGGCAAAACCACTAGGACCCATGATGGGTTCCTGGGCCAGCATGCACCGACACTTCATGATTTGTATTGCTGAGGATGGTGTACACACATGCGCACAGTACTTGTGCAATTACTGTAATTTCACAAATTTTCGGTGTACTTTTATTTTCGGTACTTTCGGTGCGTCTGTTTCATACCTAAAATTTCAATACACCGAACAAACACTAACACACATAATCCAATAGGGAACTGCTTCTCTGTACCGAAAATTTCTGTTCACCTAACCTGGCCTTTTGCCCTCATACCGAAAATATTGAGCACCGAAAATTTCTGAAATTAGAGTAAACCTGCCATCACCAGACACCATCACAATTTCGCATTTCATTTGTTCACTAATGCTTAGGCAATGTACAACAGCTCCAGAGTCTACTCTGAGGAGACAGAGAACCTTAGAGGAGGCCAGTAAGTGGATCTCAGAAAGTATAAATTGCTCCATAAAAGCACACACACACAATTGCTACTAATCAACAACTACAGTCCATTCATCTGGAACAGTCCCGGTGACTTTTGAAAGTCCGATTGGGGCCGAATTGAAGATCAAAAACCCACTTTAAATTTCAAAAATCTGGTTTTGGGATCTGCTTCTCCACACATTTTGCCATGGCATACATGTCTTGATTTTGTAAAACCTGGCTGAATTTCTATTTCCCTGTTCTTGGACTTTTCTGCCCTGAAATGTGGCAAGGAGTAATTTGCACGGGTCACACAACGCAGGATGTACTGTTGTTTTCAGGATATCTACAACTATGTGCGGGAGACACCAAAAACTTAGTGTGCCAGTTTCCAATGAATGGACTGTACACACGCACGCACCCACACACACACGTGCGCACACACACACAAACACACGCACACACCACTAGTGGTACTATTGGGCGAATTGTTTTATTCCCATCCAAATTAGCAACAGAAACCATCAAAAAGAAGGCATAAAGCAACAGCAAATGAAGGCATGGATGCAAGAAACATCCAATTTCCTAAAAAGAAGAAGAAAATAAAGAGAAAAAGAGTGAATGAAGTCTCACACACTGAGAAGCATAGAATAGAAACCACTAAAAAGCGATCAAATAGACCCCACTCAAACATGGATAAAACACAGTCAGCACGTTTCCGCAGCAAATCAAAGCAAAACTTTCAACATACAACAAATTAACACAACAACACCAACAACAAGAATGGATCTGGTTTGAATAGTGGGGTAATAAGTAAACTTAAAAAAGCGAGGACCATAAGTTTACAAGTTATCCGCTTTGTCCAACACTAACGATTACCGTAAAATACCGTTGATCCGCCCCCCCCCCCCCCCCCCCCCCTCCACACGCGATGTCGCTTCCCAGCTGGTTTTTCGGCAGGGGGCGGGAATTAGATCAAGGCTGTGAAGTGCAGTACGATGTACAACAACGTCGAGGATCAGACTCGATGTGCTGCATTGTGCACATTTTCATCCTGGATTGGCACGTATTGTGTACAGCAGTGCAAGCGTCGGTTCAACATCGTATTTCGTTGTATACGCCGAAATCGCTTCACAGGTAGAACATCGACAGGGGGCAGGAATTAGAGAGGGGGAGGATCAACGGTACTTTACGGTATAAGCAGGATACCGTTGAGCCAAAATGTGCTACAATTAGCACAAAACTGACTGATGTGATGCTGACATTCAACGACCTGCTGCTTAACTGCATCACGTCTGGAATGCGCAAACCAACAGCCTTCCAACTTGGAAGGTTCTAAGTTATGAAAGCGATCAAATAGCCCCACATTCCAGACGTGATGCAGCTAAGCATCAGGGTGTTGAATGTCAGTAACACATCAGTCAGGTTTGTGTTAATTTTTGCACATTTTGACTCAACAGTATCCTGCTTATAATCGTTAGCCTAAGTGTTGGACAAAACGGATAACTTGTAAACTTATGGTCCTCTCTTTTTAATTTTAATCCTTACCTCTCCATCTGAGTTAAATAAATAAAGTCAGTCCATGTGAAAAGAACATTGACGGTCACAGTCAGGTCAAAAGATGAACACGGGCCCGGCACTCCATGTCGAAGCCATGAGCACCGCCACCAGTATGCCTCCTGACATAGGACGCACGGGCACCACAAAGGCAGGTAATTTGCCACCGCACAAGGCACAAACTGATCCTCGAGCGCAAATGCCGCACAACCAGGGAATACGACAGGTCACAGTGACGGTCGTGAATTCGTGCAGCCAAAGTACGCAGGAAAATGGTGGCCTCTGTTACACATGCCATTCGTGGCAAACACCAGGGGCGTGAAAGATCCCTGATCAACCTTGTTGATACGTTCGGTTTAATGGCGCTTATTTTGACACTGTTGACAGATGCGTCGACTCTGCTCCTGTCTAACAGGTTCAGGGAAGATGCGAGCTGTGTTTATTATTATTATTATTATTATTATTATTCTGACGCTTGTGATCCGCCAATTGGCTCATTACTTGTGATCGCGACAGCAAAGATGGCCTTGGGTGAGTAACCCTAACATCAAAAGGCGTTTTGCTGCCGCGACCAGAAGCCACAAGCCCGGACATCCACACGAGCGCCATTGGCAGTGTTGCCTGACAAAAGCCTCATCCTGCAATGGAGTAAGTGGGGGCTCAGTCTCCACCGGCGTCACACACCACCTCTGCCAGTGTGTCGGCAAAGAGGTCCCGTAACTGGTTATGACGCTGAGTAGGATACCCTCCGCCAGGGCACGTGAATACGTGATGAGTCGTCATGGCACGGCCACAGACGCACGATGAAGGCACACTACTCAGAGCTAAACCATAGCGCAGACACAAAGTGTCACGAAAGCCGTTTTGTTGAGTAATAATATACTGCTTGTGGTTAAACCATGGGCGGTGTACCCAACCAAGTAGATATGCCACCGTCTTCATTCATGTTTCGACTTGAGAGCCTGAGTACATAAGGACTGGGCGGCACGAGTTAGAGCTGAACACAAGGTATTGGACGGTGCCTTGAACGTGGAGACCATGCGTCGCTAGGCAGCTGAATCCAGGCCAGAGGGACCTGCTGCGCCTTTCATTGACATCATGCGGCATGACTTTCTGATACGTGCCACTGTTATGCCTTCATAGAGCACACTCTCCGGAACTATCAGCTCGTCATCCAACAGAATACCCTCATCACTGTTGACAGGATCCGGGTGCTTCTCCCTCAGGACATCGAAAACCGCCCTCTCCTGGTCCAAAGGAAGAAGGCACCCACCAGCATTGTCTTCTAGATAATGTGTGGCTGTACTAATGGCACTGTTACTTGTACTACTATCAATAGAACCGAAATTTGTTTTATTCCAGAATATTCTATTTAAAAGACATAGACAGTAGTTGGGTGGACACACCCATTCCCAAAGCACTGCAAACGCGAACCAACTCCTTTACGCACAACGTTTCGGCAAAATTGCCATCGTCAGGTTCGAAATTAAACGATGGGAATGTGTCCACCAAACTGTGGGTGTGTCCACCCAGCTACTCTCTGCGCATGAAGAAAATTTAAGATGTCTCTAAAGTATTTCTCACTTATTTATAAGACGTTACTTTAGTAGTGTCTGGCACTAGCCAGGGGTCTACACTGTTGTATTTCGTATTTCTGTTTGTGTGTGTGTGTGTGTGTGTGTGTTTCTGGCGTCGGGCATGCCTGCCACTATCCCGTACATGTCCCGTACCGTACCATCAAAGACAGCTTTAGTGCTTTCAACTGCAGGATCATAACATGAAGCAGCTTGGCAAAATGTGTATGCGAGGTTTATCGAGGGAATGCATGCAGGGTGATAGTGGGGGTCATGTGTTGAAGAATATAGGAAAAATTACACATTTATAAACTAGCTCAATAGCGTAATAATTATAATAACTACAATAGACACTGTGAAGAAGAGGTTGGTGCGACTTCGGCGATGATAGGGGAAGAGTGTGTTGCTCCCTACATGGGAGCTTGTAGTTTTCCTAATTCTTGACTTTAATGGTTTGGAGGCAACAGCGTTGTGAATGGCGAACGGTCCTCAGCGCTTGTTCAGCACCTCCATGAGCGACACTGACTCGCGCTGCTATCTGGTGTTCACGAGGTGTTTGTCGCGCTGGAAACGGAGCGTCTCTGTAAGTTTGTATCCCTGGTGATGCTTGTGCCTGGAGCCGAGCACTATATAAGTGGTGCTCTTCAGGTACAATCTTCCTCAGCCTACTCAAGTTCAACTGATGAGGGGTGAATTCCCCGAAACACTGTGTATTGAGCAGGAAGTGATGCTTTCTTGCAGGTTTGCCGAGTGGACGGTTCGATGGACTTTTCGTGTGCTCTGGATGGCAGTCGTGAGTCAGTCAAGTGAGAATTCAAGTCGGCAGGAAAACCGCGAGCTCCCATGTAGGGATCAACACACTCTTCCCCTACAATCGACACCCTTAGCAAAAAACGTTATGTTGTAACGGTATTACCGTATTGGGGGAAAATAGCGAGATTTGGGTTCGACCTTTAGCAAGATGAACGCTAATATTAGTACGCTGTTGCCAAAACGTATCGTTACAACGATAAATCAGCCCCCATGTCGCGAAGTCGACACTCTATGTCCTGCAACCGTACAAACACTTAAAGGAGAAGTTAAGGCAAAAATTAAAATTTCACCAGTTGTAGTCTTCGGGGTGCTGAGTCGAATGGTCTTGGTCCGAGAAAGCCGAGACGCTCCCTTCCTACTTGAATCCCAATCGAACTCGCGCACTTCCACCGAAACTGGGTGACTGCGCCTTTTGTGCACGCGCACATGTTGTCCAGGCGTCAGGGGCCCAGCCTCCCTGCCCATCCGACCCGCCACACACAACAACGAAACTGAACTGAGAGTTCTACATAATTTCTTGACAAGACGGAGACGGACAGACAAGAAGACCGGACACGACGAGGTAAACTGAAAACTGAAGAAAAAGACTAACATTTATGGCAGC